AGCAAAATCTTGTTTCAAGTATATGGCCATTTTTCAATTAAAGTAACATATTAACCTCTACTTACAAGAGCAGAATCTCCTGAGTCTCTTTGAAGACACAAAGAGAAAAGATTTCCTTCCTCCCTCCAACTCTCTCCAAATCCCCAAGTGACACTCATAAGCTGGTTGAGAGGGTGAAAAGCTCACAAATGTGAAGGCAGAAGTCACTTTGCACCTTTCTGGCACGAAAACTTTGAAGTCTTCTTAGAGAAGAACTACACTGTGTAATTCAAATTTTTAAAATGTACATTCAAGTCTGACTGCAGTTTACCTGCTAATGCTGTTAGACAGCTGCCTGCTCTAAGCTCCAGCTGATCTGTGGTCTCTGAAAAGACAGCCACACAAAGCTGCTTGCATAGCTCCCTACCCCTCCAAAGGCCTCTCCAGGTGCACTTCGTTACAAGGATTGCTTTGCTAGTGGACTTTGCTGACATTAGCTCTAGTTTGGGTTTGTCTGTTTGCCGGCTATGAAGGTACTGAGAGATCTTAGAAAGCCAAGAGAGAAAAGAATTATCAACAGATGTGCCTTTAGGAGAGAGTCTGAGTGGACTCAAGGATTAGTCCCAGCCTTTTGGAATTGTCTGTGGCTGTTTCATAGCTGTGATGATTTTGATGAGCTTTCATTAGTGCTTTTCCTGGCAGCACCATCCGGGGCAATAAGGATAAGCCTTGTTGGATGGTTCCTGAAATTACTTGGAAATAAGTTGTAATCTCAAGAATTGCAGCGTAGAGGCCAAAGAAGTTTTACAAGATGTTGACCAGGAGATGATGTCAAACAAATGGAACCTTAAAAGTTGATTTTTTCCTCTTCAAAGGCTGGGTGCCCAGGACTAGTTTTAAATGTTCCAGTACTTAAAAGAAAAATTCAAATCACATAAGTGAACCCTCTTATTTATTGGTGATGTCAGACAAGACTTATACCTCTGGGGTGTGCTAACTGGCTTAGAACCCTTCACTGAATATTGAGTATGCATTAGTATTCGAACATAATTTCTTTCATTTTTTTTCAACCTTAATATTACATGGGCTTAGGCCTTTCTTTCTCCTAGACAACAAATTCTCTTTGAACAAAAGTATGATGCTATATATTTTTTTTCTTTTTTGTTTTCTTTCTTTCTTTTTTTGGGACAGAGTCTAACTCTGTTGCCCAGGCTGGGGTGCAGTGGCATGATCTCGGCTCGCTGCAACCTCTGCCTCCCCAGTTCAAGCGATCCTCCTGCCTCAGCCTCCCGAGGAGCTGGGATTACAGGCGCCCGCCACCACGCCTGGCTACTTTTTGTATTTTTAGTAGAGACAGGGTTTCACCACGTTGGCCGGTCTGGTCTCAGACTCCTGTCCTCAAGTGATCCACCTGCCTCAGCCTCCTGAAGTGCTGGGATTACAGGCATGAGCCACTGTGCCTGGCCACCATGTCGTATTTTTATACCCAGAGTACTGAAAACAGTGATAGGCACCAAGGACTGATTTAGTGTTCCTGCTTTGGAGAAAATAAGTTGACTTAGGGTATCCCTACAGCTTCATAGTAATGATTTGTGTCCTTGTTCTACCCTGGGGAATTTTACTGAGACTAATTAGGAATTAGTATGGGGATGGGGAGGAGAGGAGCCTTAATCGTAGTGTCATTAACAGGCAAGAGGAAATTAAAGTAGGACTGCTAGACACCTCTCAACCAACCAATCAACCATCCTGCCACTTGCCATGTAAAATTAACTAAACAAGCTGGACATGGTGGCTCACACCTGTAATCCCAGCACTTTGGGAGGCCAAGGTGGGCAGATCACTTGAGGTCAGCAGTTCGAGACCAGCCTGGCCACCATGGTAAAACCCTTTCTCTACCAAAAAATACAAAAAATTAGCTGGGCATGGTGGTGCATGCCTGTAGTCCCAACTACTCAAGAAGCTGAGGTGGGAGAATTGCTTGAACTCGGGCAGCGGAGGCTGCAGTGAGCTGAGATCACGCCACTGCACTCCAGTCTGGGTGACAGAGTGAGAACCTGTCTAATTGAATAAATTAAATTAATAACAACAAAATTCTAGCTCACTTGGTTTTGTCTGTTTACAGGTTCCTTTACAAGTGTTACATGGCAGAAAATTCCCAGTAGATTGATCGCCACTTGACTTTTTCATAGTATTTCCCATCAGAATAATGTTGCATAAGCTACTCTATCCAGGATAGTCCTGGGGGATCTCTGGCAGAATATAAATATTTCTGCTGTGTGCAGCAGCAATTGTAGCTTAGGAGGCGCAATGGGCGTGGGTTTTGTGGTTTCCTTCTGACTTTTCAGGGTAGCTCATCACTTCGACCACAAAATCACTGCCAACCTTCAGAAGAAGGAAGAAGGATTGGCCAACCTACATTTTCTTTTCTCTTTAGGGACAAACACTGACTTGAGTTTTTACAGACCAGCCAGTTTAGTTGTGTTTGGAGTTTCCCAATAGAGTCTTTGCAGAAATGTGAGTTGGTTTTTACATTGTTACAAACCAATCGTCTGCATTACAATTGGCCTTAGTCCTGGAACCACAGAGGTGGTTTGCTTTACCCGTTGACTCAAGTTGCCTAATTTTTGTGTCACTAGGAAGAACCAACACCTCTCATGAGTTACAAGACAGTGAGCCTTGAAATGACTGATGAATGTGGGACAGCCATTTGTTAAAAACCAGGACGCATTTATTCATTCATTCAACTAGTATTTATGTAGCCCTCCTAAATGAGTCAGGCATTGCTCCAGGAGCTGTGGATACTGTCATAAAATAGATCCCTGATCCCAAATATTCTTTTTTTTGAAGTGCCAGATAGTAAATACATTAGACTTTGTAGGCCTCACCATTTCTATTGCAACCATTAAACGGTGACCTTTTTTTCTTTTTGTGCAGTAGCAGCCACAGAAGTACGTGAAACAAGTGCAAGCTGTGTTTTTTTTAAAAAAAAAACCTTGATTTATGAAAACAGGCAATGCATGAACAATAGTTTACCACCTCTGAACTAGACCATAACTTGCCCTTGTTGAGCATACATTCCAGTCACCTGCACTTGATTTCTACTAGGTGACTTTATTGTATAAGGAAGATATGTTCCTAAATACTACGCCTAATCCAAAACAAGAGTAATGCAAAACTGTTCAAAGATGCATAAGGTAAAAAAAAACCTAAAAAGGTTAAAACTTTAATAAACCCAACAAACAAAAGAGCTCATAAAAGAGTCAAAACAGGCCGGGTGCAGTGGCTCACATCTGTAATCCCAGCACTTTGGGAAGTGGAGGTGGGTGGACGGCCTGAGGTCAGGAGTTCAAGACCAGCCTGACCAATGTGGTGAAACCCCATCTCTACTAAAAATACAAAAATTAGCTGGGTGTGGTGGCATGTACCTGTAGTCCCACCTACTCAGGGAGGCTGAGGTGGGAGAATTGCTTGAATCTGGGAGGCGGAGGTTGCAGTGAGCCGAGATTGTACCACTGCACTTCAGCCTGGGTGACAGAGCAACACTCTGTCTCCAAAAAAAAAAAAAAGTCCAAACAAAACAATATGTATTTTAGAACTTTCTGGTGACTCATTGGTTACCAATTATGGATACATTTTTCTAGATTTTAAACATTCATAAGAAAACAAAATCATCTTTAGATTTTGATGAATTGACCATTCCTTTAATACTATGGAGGCAGTAGGAAAACCTGTCATTTATAAATATTTTATTTATAAATTAACATAAATGTTTAAACATGTAGAAAAGTTGAAAGACTCATCCAAAGCACACCTTATATGGTGTATGGATTTTGAATTGTAAGTGGTAGACTCTCTGTTTCCAAAGTGGCTGAAATAATACCAACTCAAATCTATTTTAGGACCTCATCTTTTTAGGAGTGACCAGAGACTGCTCTGATCTGAACTATTTCTAGTTCTCTTTTGTGTTTTTTGGGGAAAATGCATAAAATACTTCTTATCTCTGGATTGTGCATGTTCTTGTACTTGCTTGGTCACACTTTGGAAACAAAGGCCAGTGATGCCCATTCCAATTGCTAAGGTATGTCTTTCCTGTATTCTAATTTCATTTAATTGATGCATAACAAAAATTCAAGAGGTTAGTGTCACCATAGCCAGTCTCCTTCCTCCTGCCCATGTAAAGTACCATATGGATCTCAGGAAGAATTTATTAGCTGCAAAATAAAATATAGAATGTAGTCTTCCACACTGTACTTTCTTGAGTTCCTTTGTTTCTTTTTTTTTTTTTTTTTTCATTTGGAAAAGAATGATTGAGGGGGAAAATAAATTGTTTGACATCTAACCACAGAAAGAAAAATTAGTTTTCTCTAACTTCTCCAGGCTCTGTTTTTGTTTCACTTTACATCCTGTGTGCTGCTGGTCTGGGGAGAAATTATGACATGAAAGGGAGTCATTTCCCTTCAGAAGATTCACTCACAATTTAATAGTAATCACATGTCTGGGAAAATGGAAGGGTTAGAAATATTTTCAACATCTTTTTTGGTAGTCAGCTGCATTCTGATAAATGCTACAACCTATCCATCATTGAGTGTTTTGTTTGCTATTGCTGCCTGTAGGATGATATATTCTTGAGCTGTTGACCTCTAGCTGTGTTATCTGCTTTGGCCAATGAAATGAGATCTCAAGTCACCTGTGCCACCTAGGAGGAAAAGCTTTAAGGACCATTTTATGGCTTCACCACTTTCACGGTTCCTTCTGCCATGAAAACAGTAATGTCTCAGAGGCCAGGTGCTCTACAGCGTGGGTCTCACCATGAAGATGTGGAGCATAGCCCACAGCCAACCCTCCATGGACGTGTTGTTGAAAGCCATTGAAATGATGGGGTCATTTGTTACTGCAACACAGCCCACTGGCATGACATCCTCATCATTCTGTTGTGCCTGTTTATAGTTCTCAGGTTCTAGAATGGAATCATTGGAAGATTCTAAACCTGGACTTGTGTGATGATGAGAATAAGAAAGGGCATTGAGGCAGTTGCATTTACAGCACTGGATATTCTTATCTGCAGAGACTGGTTGTTCTAGAAATCCTTCTGCTTCTTTAATGCTCCTCACTTCAGCCCTTTGAGAGATTTTAAGCTGAATCACAAGCAACTTGGCCATCCTTATGCCAGGTCATCTAATTTCTACAACATGGTTTGTGTGTTTAATGATAAAATAACAGCTCCATGAAGGCAGAGGCTTGTTCTTGATGGTGTATCTCAAGTGCCTGGCACACAGTAGATGACCACCAAATACGTGGTCGATGAATGTGCTGTGTCATTTATTTTCAATGAGTTTTCCCTTTGATTTGATTTTAGTGAAGTGTATACTCAGGATAATCACATTCGTTTTTCTGCCTCTAATAGAAAATCTAACACTGGATAGTAGGTTGAATATATATTTGTTTATTTATTTAGAGGTGGAGTCTCACACTCTGTCGTCCAAGCTGGAGTGCACTGGCGTGATCTCTATTCACTATAACCTCCACCTTCCGGGCTCAAGTGATTCTCTTGCATCAGCCTTCCTAGTAGCTGAGACTACAGGCACCCACCACCATGCCTGGTTAATTTTTGTACTTTTAGTAGAGATGGGGGTTTCACCATGTTGGCCAGGCTGGTCTCGAACTCCTGACCTCAAGCGATCCGCCCACCTCGGCCTCCTAAAGTGCTGGGATTATAGGTTTGAGCCACCACACCCAATCAAATATTTATTTCTCTAAATAAATTGACACCACAAGTTAAATCGCCAAGGGGCATAGCCTCAGTTTATTATAACCAAAGTGTCATCAATTACTTGAAATATTGTCTTTGCATCATTTTAGGGAGAAAAAACATTAAAACTTGTTGTTTAACAGAAAAAGTTGATTGTGTACTAGTACTTTCCTAAAATTCGAGATTCTGCTTGACTTTTGAATTGGGTCAGAAAGGAAGCATATACCACCATATTGTACTCATGGCCTCTCTGAGCCATGACACTGATTTGAGCGGGAGGGGCTGCTATATTTCCATAGACTTAGCCCATTCACTCATTTCCTCTACTTTGTCATCATTAGGTTGGATTTAAGTAGCATTACTGTAAAATTTCCCACTGAGAAATTTCAACATGAAGTGGTTTTCTGATCTCTTTAAAATAAAATGGTTAAAAATAGACCTTGTGGGAACAGTTTTCCACTTCAAGAACAAAATCCTGCAAAAATGTTTTAATGCAGATTTGGGACCTAATTATTTTTTCTCACCTCAGCTTGGCTGTAGTTGTGCTACAGTGGAGACAACAAGTCTCAGTGTTACAGAATCTGGCCAACAAGTGCTCTCCGCTCCCTGTGAAGGTTTCCTATTGGGTTGGCCACTGCTTACTTCCCTTCTCCTCCCTGGAGCTTTTCTCCAACTATGAAGAGCCCACATCTGGTTCCTCATTAATTTGGCGACCTTCTCTTATGAGGCTAGGGAAGGCCTGACCATTTCAGTTGCACCGCCTCCGGGTTTCGCAAACATTAAAGTCTGGGCTGAGTAAAGGTGAACTGACTAAAAGGACAGCAGCGTGCAAAAGATACTCTGTCATTAACATCCACAGTCTTCAAGGTACTCAGTCATTAGGGCTGGTTTAATCACGCCTCTGTGACATGAGCAGAGCCTCGGTGAGCTTTGAGGCACATCCAGGGGTTCTCTATTAGAAAAGTGGGTTCCTGGCTGGCCATATCTTTTTTTATTTTAATGTCATCCTTTTTCCCACAGCCTGGGAGCTGAAATGTCTACGAATGCTTAGTTGTGACATTCCTTTACAATTTTGTTGTTGTTTACTGTTGTAATTCTAATACCTTGGAAAAATGCCTCCGACTTAATATGTGCTCCATAAATATTTGTGGAAGAATGAATGGTAAACAAATAAATCTCCAGTCACTAGTGACTAGCAATTGTTTAATTTTGTGTCAGTCTTCAGTACTTTCCTGCCTGATAGGTACCTTATCGGGAAAAAAGATTCAGAGAGAAAACACAAAATGGTAAGATCTTTTACAAATAGATGCTATGCCATGCCCCACATCTCCCATTTATTATTATTATTATTGTTGTTATTTATTTTATCCCATGTCCTTAATTCTAGCAGGTAGAAAATTCTTTTTTAAAAATAGCAAATAGCCCAAATTCTATTTTATCGACAAGGAATGGAATGCATTTCTTAAAATTCCCATTGGACCACATATGTGGAACATTTTTAAAAAGCAGTTTTACAAGCATCCATCCTTACTCTCTGGGTCTTCAGTCTAGTATGTTTTAAAATAAATTTGGGTGTTTCTGAAATATATTGCTCTGTGTTTCTGCCTTTTCTGTTGCAAAGTTCTCAAATATGGTGTGTTCTTTTGCGTTCTGTCTTTTGACACAAGTACTCCTTGTTCGTCTAAGTCCTGTCATTTAAAATTCATTTCAAGTGTCATTTCCTCTGGATACATTCCTCGTGAGTTAGATGCTTCTCTGTCCCAGTATACCCTGATACACTCCGAATACACTTCCACATAGAGTATTTATCAGCCTTTATTGTTGCTGTTTGATTAATGGTTAGACTATTAGACTCTCAGTGACCCTAGGCCAAGACCTAAATATTATTTGTCTCTACATAGTGGGCATCTCTTATAGTTTCTGGCACCAATAGGTGCTCAGAATATTTGTTGCATGAATTCATTTGTGTTCTTTAGTTTCTAAAGAAAGCTTCAGTTCAGCTTTCAGTCTTCAGCATTTCTCTTTTCACTAGCCAGTTGCCCCCTTTCCTGCCTGGAAGGTTTGAATGTAGAACTTGGTTCTACCCACTGCAGTAAGCACCCACAGTCACTGCCCACTGCTTGCATGGGGAGAAGGGCCAGATGGGCATCTGCTGATCTGGAAACCCGAAATCTTGGGTCCCGATCTGTGTTTTTTCAGCTTTTCTTTATATTCTTCTCTTTCCTTTTTTTCTCCTTCCCTCAACTCCTCTCCCCCAAAGATGGTACTTGGCAACTGATAATTTTTGCTTACTTGGAAACTTGAATATCATGGAAATCTAGCAAATAAAAATTGACCCTGAAAAGTCTCTAGAATACATTGGGAGGATTGCCTAAAACAGTGTTGCATGTGGAATTAGCAGTTGGGGTTCTGAAATTACACCTGTTATTTTAGAAACAAGAGGCTACAAGGGGCAAATGCTAAGGCTTCTTTGCCATCCCCTACTTTATTTATTTATTTATTTATTTATTTATTTAGAGACGTAGTCTCACTCTGTCACCCAGGCTGTAGTGCAGTGGTGCGATCTCAGCTCACTGCAACCTCCACCTCCCAGGTTCAAGCAATTCTCCTGCCTCGGCCTCCCGAGTAACTGGGATTACAAGGGCACGCTATCATGCCTGGCTAATTTTTTTTTTTTTTTTGATATTTTTAGTAGAGATGGGGTTTCACCATGTTGGCCAGGCTGGTCTCGTACTCCTGACCTCAGGTGGTCTGCCCTCCTCAGCCCCTCAAAGTGCTGGGATTACAGGCGTGAGCCAGTGCTCCCAGCGCCATCGCCTACCTTGAAATGATCATCTTAGGCAGTTGATTTCCAGCCTTCATGTCAACTCACAGAGAAGAGTACCAGTATTTCTATTGCCACTGTTTTTTAACGTCTCATTCGTAGAAAACCTGACCAACATAACAATACTTTGCTCCTTCAAGCTGCAGTTTAAAATCTTTTATTTTTGCACCTTATATATGTAGAAAGGGGACTATCTAGCTAACACGACTGTCAAAACCGCTAATGGACAGTTAGGAAGAAGGAATTCAGGAAATGAAACAGCGCTGAAAACTGGGCAGTGTTTAAGATGCAGTCACCTGTATCTGTGCTTTGACACTAAAGAAGATGGAAAAGGAATATATTTACTAGTTTCTTCTATTGTTGGTATTGGAATCCATTTGGATGAAAGACTTTCTGAAGCTCATATTGTCAGTAGTATTCTGCCTAGATTTTTATGGGCAATGAGTAACAGAGTAGATCAACTGAGGGGACTATATGATAGCTCATCTATCAAATTACCCGGGATAAATGAGGAAAAGGAGGAAGGATTGTTCTTTTTTTTTTTTTTCAGGCGGAGTTGCACTCTGTTGCCCAGGCTGGAGTGCAGTGGCGCAATCTCATCTCACTGCAACCTCCACCTGCCAGGTTCAAGCGATTCTTCTGCCTCAGCCTCCCAAGTAGCTGGGATTACAGGCATGTGCTAACACACCCAGCTAATTTTTGTATTTTTAGTAGAGACTGGGTTTCACCATATTGGCCAGGCTGATCTCGAACTCCTGACCTCAGGTGATCTGCCCGCCTCAGCCTCCCCGAAGTGCTGGGGTTATAGCACTTAATAACCAGGTCCAGCCAGGATTGTTCCAATTTAAAAATTGTTCCTTTTTAAAAAATATAATGGAAAAAACACTAAAGATCTAAATTATCATGCAAACTTGACAATATATATTCATAATTATGCATTATGACATAATCTACCAAAGCCTTTTTGTACCCCGCTGTTCATTTCTATGTTAAAAAGAAATGACTATTTAAAATTAGGAATTTCTCATTGTTAGAATGAATTGGACTGGCTCATTATACTCAAATTTACTCACCAGCTGCTTTGCACCTAAACTAATGCTGAGGCTAACAAGAGTGAAAAGGATTAAAGGATGTTAGTCAAAGGAGATACCTAAGAAATTCTCCGGGGCCACTTTGTAGCATATTTACCACATTACTTGTCTTTTCCAATGGACGAAGATAGCCATAGTATGTTATGTTTGGGTGGCATTTCAAACAAACAAACAAACCAGAAATACCAAATAAATCGTCGGTGAGTGTTGATAAACTCGTTTTTTATATGAATGTTGAAAATCACCCCAATCCTATTGGGATGCATATCTTTAGATGCCACTTCCAATGCTCTCCTTAAAAGTGAGACTGGACGCGGTGACTCATGCCTGTAATCCCAACACTTTGGGAGTCCAAGGTGGGCAGATCACATAAGGCCAGGATTTCAAGACCAGCCTGGCCAACCTGGCGAAACGCTGTCTCTACTAAACATACAAAAATTAGCCAGGCGTGGTGGTGGGTGCCTGTAATCCTAGCTACTCAGGAGGCTGAGGCACAAGAGTCACTT